TTGTCAAAACCCATGGAACTGTAGAACACAGAATGAACCCTGATGCAAACCACAGACTCTAGTTAATAATACTGTAGCAATATTGACTCATCAGTTGTAACAAATGTATCACACTGATACAAGATGTTATTAAAAGGGAAAGCTGTAGGGGTGGGGGTGGGCAAAGGGCTATATGAGAACTCTGAACTTTCTGCCCAATTTTTCTGTAAACTTAAAATTGCTCTAAAACATAGTCTATCAATGAAGATAAAAAGGAGAGGAAAGGATGGAATAGAAGAAATAAATGAAGGATGAAACAGGGCAGGAAGAAAGAGAAAGCCATGCACATACAATCTTGAGAGTATAGCATAAAACCATAATTATAATTAATTCTGCATGATTGTGTTACAAGTAGAGCAAAAATATGACTAGCCACTCTTCTTACCAACTCCTAGGGCTCTCCATCACAAGTGCAAGATAAGTTCAAGTAATTTGGCGTGATGTGAAAAATTTTCACTGCCTGACTGCCGCCTCATTTTCCAACACCATCGCTGGTCTTTGCTGTGTGTTACAAGCTCCAGCTGCAGTTGTCTCTTTGCCTTTCTTTGCTACTCATGACACATACTTTCAGACCACTCTGCCTTTTTGCTCTTGCTGTTTCCTCTGCCTGTGTCTTCTCCCCTTCTAACCTAACCAGATCCTACCTCCTCTAACACACTACCTCCTCTGTGAAAACTTTCCTGACCTCTTTTCACCCCAGCACAGCAAGCAAGAATGATCCCTCTCCCAGTTTCCACAGTTCCTTGTGTCTATTTCTTCAACATATGCTTGGTACACCACAAAATACATAACAAAAATGTTTCAGTGGAAAAACTGGGGACGGAAAAGCCAGATCAGATTTAAGGAGTGGGTAGAAGTTGAGATTTGAGTACATAGAACTGGTTTTATTGTGATGCTGCGTTAATTATTTTGATTTGTCTTTAGCATTTGGGTCTTTACCTAACAGGGGTTGAGGGTGATGAGAAGAAATTCCCAGAGTGGCTGTGGTGCTGTCCAATGCTTTGGTGCTGACAGACCTGTGTCACTGAATAAGGGATGCCTCTAGAGTCATAATTTATCTGGCCCCAGAAACTGTAGTCCTCTATTTTGAGGGGGAAGGGAGAGAGGAGAATGACCACATTCCCTCTCTGTTATCTCTTGGACAGTCTGGAGCCATAGCCTGCCTCATGTATTTGGAAAGGAAAAAGATTAGTTGACTAGGTGAGTACCTCATATATTTCTTATGGGATCACAGGCTCCTGAAGACCAATTGATAACCAAAAATAAATTGGTTATTGGTTTTTCTGTCATTCATTAAATGAACATTAAAGGCCAACTGTGTTCCCAGCACCATGATAGGCTCTGGGTATACAAGATGACCAAAATGGAGTTCCTGCCACAAGGAGTTAATATAACCAGGGAGACCAACCTTGAGCCAATAACAGCAATTATGCTATGTCTTAGTCTGTTTGAGCTACTATAATAAAATACCACATACTGGGTGGATTAAACAACAGAAATTTATTTTCTTCCAATCCTACTTTCCAGTTCTTCTGGCTAGAAGTCCCAGATCAAAGTCCAACAGGGTTCAGTTTCTGGTGATGGCTGTCTTCTTGGCTTGCAGATGGGCTGTTTTGTCCTCACATGGCTGTTCTTCATTGTGTGCACACCAGAGTACATGCACAAGCATGAGTGCACTAATTCTATCAGATCAGGGTCCCACCTTTATGACCAAATTTACCTTAATTATCTCCTATTTCCAAATACAGTCACACTGGGGCTTTGGGCTTCAACATATGAACTGGGGGGACACAATTCAGTTCATAGCAAAAGCTTATAGAAAACTGTAGGTGCTGTCCAGGCACGGTGGCTCACGCCTGTAATCCCAGCACTTTGGGAGGCCGAGGCAGGCAGATCACCTGAGGTCAGGAGTTCGAGACCAGCCTGCCCAACATGGTGAAACCCCGTCTCTACTAAAAATACAAAAATTAGCCAGGCATCATGGTAGTCGTCTGTAATCCCAGCTACTTGGGAAGCTGAGGCAGGAGAATCGCTTGAACCTGGGAGGCAGAGGTTGCAGTGAGCCGAGATCGCACCATTGCACTCCAGGCTGGGGAAAAAGAGTGAGACTTTCTCAAAAAAAAAAAGAAAAAGAAAACTGTAGGTGCACACATGAAGGAATGATCATCTTGTCTAGGGAAAGGCGGCGACGGCAGAAGGCTTAGCAGAGCTAACACTTGGTCTGAACTTTGAGCATGTGCGTGGTCATTTGCCAAGTGATGGGAGTGCCCACCCCTGACCTGGAGGCTCTGGTGGTCTAGCAGTGCTAGTCAGTCAATAAGTTATTGATATATATAAAAAGGGGAGGTCTCTACCTCCCAAGCCTTCTGTCAGTCACATCTTTATTCAGTGATGTGTGCTTATTCCTCCTATGTGAGTTTTACATCTGTAAGCAGCTTTTCTTGGTAGGGTATGTCACGGGTTTCCTGAATAATATTCAGATGTCACTCAGCTTTCACTGCAACAGCCCCTATGCCTCCTGCAGAGGTGGTTATTTCAGAAGATTCAGTGACTGTCAGAGTTAGAAGAAGAGAGTTATTGTGCTTTAAATGGCTCAAGAAATAAACATACATGTTTCTTTGTGACAGTGGGGTGTATATAATGAGTCATGGGCTTGCTAAAGCAGAGCATATCCACCCTGTCATTTCCCTTCTTTTGCAAATTGTCCTGGTGGGCACCAGGTTCCGTGATCAGTCAGTGCTGAGTGTCCTCATGGGTAGTGCTGTGTTAGGGGTCCTACCTGTGGGAGTAGATCTTCTCAGAAGGAGGAAGTGTCCTGGAAGCTGTAAGAAAATGAACCACTCTTTGCTTTATTCTTCCTTCCCACTCAGTTTACACTTACCTTCTGGCAACTGGGCTTTTGGGCTTGGATCATGGCTTTTCAGTGGTCAGATGATGAGTTTCTTTAACATAGGGATTGAGTCATATTCCTCTCTGTTGTAGCCTCACTTGTCCCTCAGTGATGATCACAGTAACCCAGTAGTGATTGCTTTTGGATAAACTAGTATGAGGGTTGTGTACTTTTTTTTTTTTTTTTAGCTTGTGTTATTCTGCTGGCAATTTGTTTCCCCAGTGGGATTCAGCCTCTTTGCAATGTACCTGCCAGAGTCTCCAGCTATTCTCCTGCCCTTGGTGTAAGCCAAATGGTGACCAAAGCAGAATTGCAGTCCATTCCATTGCCCCATTACCCTTGGGGAAATAGGGCAAGGCTTTAGGACGACGGGTGGTAAGAAGGTTTGTGCTGACAGAGTAGAGTAATTTTCCCGTCCCTGAGACCAACAATTCTATCTTTAGAGACAGAGAGGAAAATGTGGGGATATTGGCTTAAATCAAAATGAAAGCCCTCTCCTTTCTATGACGTCTCCAGGTGGGTGTTGGATTTCTGTTGTTTCAACAAGTGGGCTGGAGCACACGATTGCGAGTTTAGGGCAGTCGACAGCACTCGGAACAGCTTCTGAAGGGGCTCTGCTCCCTATTTACTCCCTTCCCCCTTCCCTGCAGAGACTGTTCAGAGGAGCATTTGTGAGACAAACGTTGGGAACAGCTGCTCAGCCAGACCCTTGTCTCCTGTGCTGCCGCAGTCACTGTGCTGGAACTCTGCTGAGGAGGGTGGAGTGTCTGGGCTCTGCTGCTCCCACAAAGCAAACGTTTTCCTGTTTTCTCGGAGGCAGTTTGTTACAGATTTCAACCCTTTCTGCATCCCTCCCTCCCTTACAACACGAATGCTCATCTTTTCTTGCATTACTGCTGAAATAATGCAAACTTCGTTTCTCTGTCATCTGAGCATCATTCAGAAATGTTCCTCTGATCTGTGAATTGTTCCCTGACTTCAGTCGGGGCAGTGTTACAGGTCCTCTGCTGGCAGGAGGGAGCAGTCCGTCAAAATCTGCAGACACAAGACTTTCAGAAGCTGTGACGAGCAGACTAGCAAGCCACAAAACATTGCAAGCTGAATGGATGTCTTAATAAGCTTTTAGATGTGATTTGGCCAGCATCGGCAGAGGAGGCTAAAGGGAAAAGGCAGCGAGCATTATAACGTAAATCACTGCAGATTTGCTGGGAGTGACAGCCCTAGGAAGCTAATGATCTCTCCAGGAAAGAATTGACCACAGTTATCCAGAAACTGAACACGATGTAGAACAGAGAGGACAGCCCCTCGGATGTGAGTACCATCTCTTCAACACAAGGTTTGGAGCAGTAGGAGCAAAGCTAGTTGTTATAGCTGATGGCGCTCCATAGCCACCGATTCCTGTGGGCCATCTCTGGGTGGGTTGTACATACTGCCTGACTGGGACTTTTATTTGCAGATCTCTTCTGGAATATTTTGCCTGTCAGGAGACAGATGTGTAGTGGCTTTAGGATATTGGCAAATTCTCCAAAGTGTAGGAGAATTTGTTGTAAAGCCCCAAGAAAACAGCAAAAGCAAACCTTATAGACCTTTTTCTGTAAAAAGAAAACTGATTGCATCACAGACAAGCAGCTGTGTGACCCTCTGGTATTTGTGATGACAGACAAAAGAATTAGCAAATTACAGAGCAACAAAAATGGGGCAGTGGGCTGGGAGGAAGGAGGGAAATCTTAGGAAGCTTAATCCCTATCTAGATTCAGGATATGCATTGCATACTTATGCTCATGTGTTTATTTCCTTTTGGCTTAAGGAATGGGCAGCATGTTTGCGTTTAAGGTTTTCCTTCAGAATGCTGTGAAAAATGAGCATTGTGACAAAGAGGGATGTAATTGATAGGCTTGGGGCAGAATACATTTCTCACTGCCAGCAGTGGGAAGTATCTTGAATGATAGCTGATCTACCTGTAAGAGGAGGCTCAGATACAAGGAGGGGATGAACTGCTACAGCCGAGGTAGCCAACAGGTTGGCATGAAGTTTAACTCATTGATTCCAGACTGGTTTCACCCCTCTATTCCCTTCCCTTCCCAATTTACTGTCAGGGGTTCCCCCATCCCTTCTTAAACTGCTCCCCACCCCTGCAATACACACACCTCTGTCTGGTCCAGTTTGTCGGGTCAGGACATCAGATGAGAAGCAGAGTGTCTTCTCACTCTAAGGGATGGGGGATCATTGTTCTAGATGGGAGGTAAGGATATGGGGTTTAGGAACAGTGACCATGAGGGAGGGAGAGAGGTGGTGTCTCTGCTTGGCCTGCACTTGGTATCTCTGCTGAGCCTGCACCCACACCCAAGGCCGAAGGTGCAGGAAGAAGCAGAAATAGAAGACCCTCATTTGATACCCTCCCACCCACAAACTGTGTGTAAACGCCCCTGCAGGTAAAGGCTGGAGATCCTAGTAAGGAGGCGATTACTGGGCTTAAATTGAAAATGAGGTTGAGATGTCCAAGCACATAGGGATGGTGTTGGCAACAGACTAGGAATTGTAAAGCCGGGGTTCTGTTCCTGATCTTGCACGCAGTTTTCTGTATGACTCTGGTAGGGGGAGTATCCAAAATCCTGTGCGAGGGACCTGTTCTGCAGGCTGCTCTGTGGGTGCTTTGATTATGGTGGAGGGGATGGAGTGAGAGTGAGGAACATTCTTAAGTAGCTGTAACTGAAAAGCAAAAAATAGAAGGGTGTTTCTGCTTGGCCAATGTTTTCTCACCACTGTAGTATTTTTCTATCTTTAACCAAACAAAAAGGAAAATTAATGTGGGCTGTACTTGCAAAGGGCTGTTTACCAGTGGTAATTATCTAAACAAGGCTATCTCAGTAGCCTGCAGCTATGGCATAAGTGTACTTCAGTCTCAGTATCCAGGAGGCTGAATTCATTGCATGGGGCTGGAGGGTGGGAGGGGAGTGGCTATCAATTTACTATGGGCCAGCTGGACCCCTGCATCCGTTGCTGAGGAGGCTGCACAGCACTGCTGGTGTGGAGCTTGTGACCTCAGCTGATGGGCTGTACTGAGGCTGCAGCAAAAAAACCTCTACCCTCAGGGGCTAAGCCATGGAGCAGAATGAGTAGAATGAGTAGAATTTTAGCCATGATAATATTTGTATGAACTGGGCCGTTGTACTTGAGACATTCAAATACCCCTTGCAATGAAAGGTTCTGGAATGGAAGGGGGCCGTTGGGTCTAGGTCTAGAGATAACAAATGGGTAGATGAGGGGAAGGGTGTGATTGTGGAAGGGAGATCATTTCGTAAGTCATGGCTAATACTCTGTATTTTCCTGCCGTTTAGGCCTGGAGTGATTTTGCAATATTTGGGCAAACAGAGCAGAAGTTCAGTATAATTGGTTTGAATGAACCACAGATTACCTGAATGAAAAGAGGCAATGCAGCTATGTTTCTAAAAACAAACCACTTCCAAATAGTGTAACGGTCTGGGAAACATAAAGCCCAGACTGTAGCCATTCAGTGCGACCATGAGAATTTTCAAAGGCATTTCCAGTTCCATTTCTTTCCGTGTTTTGAGTCTCAACTTTATTCATTTTTTTTTTTTTTTTTTGGCTCTATTTCTGGCATATCCCAGGGATCTCAGACCATGACTCACCAAGCTGCTTTAGAGCAGACCCTTTGCCAGATTCATTGTGCTTCTAATGACCCAGTGAGCAGGAGCAGGATGGGTTCGCGAGGGTTCCTCTCTCTTTCCCTGGTATTCTTTACCTACATTTTGAGCAACAGATGGAGAACGATGAGAAAGTTTGATAATTCACAAGAGTGGGGGTAATAATTATTTCCGAAGTTGTAGTATTCACATCTGGACCATACTTTTGCATAATAAAATACCCTCTTTAATACCCGCCACAGTCCTGGGAGATAAATGTTCTCGTGTCTGTTTTATACGTGGGCATTTAACCCTAGCCTCACAGAGTGGTTGGCCAAACAAGCTGCCTGAATGCCACAGTGAACGAGTTCAAACAGGATGTGGTCCAGGGCTTTCCAGCCATATCATGGCCAATTCCTTAATCTTTAGAGACTGAAAGGATATTTGGGTGTGCTTGGGAACAAATGTAAGGGATGGCTGCGTCTTCCAGACTTTCAAAGTTAGGATGTGTGGTAGGGTTTGGGTTGAAGGGTGGTATCTCTGTTGTAGCATTCTGTTTCCATTTGTATATACTAGTATTTTTAATAAGTATCTTTTAAAATACAAAGAAGCCCTCACTTCCTTGCTGTTCTAGCAGGACTGGATTAGACATTTAAGTATTTCTTCTTCTGCCCAAAGAACCCTTCACCCTTGAAATAATTACCAATGGCTTTGGTTGGGTCTAATGGCAGCCCAGGTATAGTGGGAGGAGTCCCAGTCTTTAAAATTCTATTCATTTTGCTATGTGGTAGGAAGAAATCAGTTTGCTACTAGTTCCTACCCTCCAGGTCACTGCTCTGCGACAGGGCTTTAGTGTTCTGTAGGTGGGTTTGGTGCCACTTCTTTTCCTCCTGTTAGCAAGGAAGCAACATGACCAGCCCCCTGCATTGGCAGAGCCCCTGTTAGTGTTTAGCATCTGTGTTGTCCCTAAGGTGGATTGTTTCAGCCACTTGGAACCAGGAATCGGCCCGGGCCTGTGCCCAGCTCTCCATCTGTTCCAGAACTCGGGAACTATACTATTTACAGTGAGAAAAGGATGAAGGGAGAGAACTGCAGTAAATGCTAGGAGAAAACCCCAAAGAGAGAACCCACTCAGCGGGGTCTCTGTGGGGTGTGTTCCACAGGCCACTGACCCACTGGGGAAGCGGCACATTAGCCATGGTGGACGCACAAAACCCAGCCAGGGGCCCTTTGGTGATCACACACAGTACAGTTCCCTGCCAAAGGCGGTGTGTAAACCAGGTGGTGCTTAGGGGATTATACCAGGCCTCCACTCCCTGGGAGAAAAACAGAGCAAACCTTGCAATTCTGGCCATACTATTCCGGAGGATGTCCCTGATGGGGGAAGAAGGGAGGGAGGTTGGCACATTCTGCTGCCTTCCACTTGGAAGTTCTGTTCAGGGGCTTTGCTGTGGAGTGTGCTTCCTGTGTGTTGTGTCCTGCCTCCCACAGCTCCCCCCGCTGCAACCTGCAAGCAGCAAAATGCCTTAAAATCAGAGAGAAGAGGTGTGACCTGTCCTTGTGTGTCAAGTGGCCCTGATGGCAGCTTTGTTTTGTAACCCCTAGGTCCCGAAGATGGCATATTCATAAAGATATCTTCCGATGATTGTGAACATCTTTACCTGTGGGTGCCAGGCCGGGCCAGTGACTTCGTGTTGAGCTGAAGGAACTTGTCTACCGCTTCCCTGAAAACCTTTCTTTCCTAATTCATGAGCCAGCAAGATGCAGTCGCTGCACTTTCAGAGCGCCTTCTCATAGCTGCGTACAAAGGCCAAACAGAGAATGTGGTTCAGCTCATCAACAAGGGCGCCAAGGTAGCAGTTACCAAGGTAACAAGAGAAAAATACGCTGTAGCCATTCCCTGGGAACTGGCCTACCTCTTAACCATTGTCTGAAAAACCGCTGTGTTTGGATCGCAGCTTTCAAAGAACTGGCTTTTCTTCCAGTGATGGAGGTTTGGGGAGAATGAGGATTATTAAGAATGCTTTATTGCCATCTTTCAAGTGGAGGACTTGTAATTAGCATTTGACAGTCTTTAAAATCATGGTGGCTTTTCTCACCTATTTCTTTAGCCAAATGGAGAGGAGATCTCTTGGGAGAAGTTGGGACACAAAAGCTTACTGGACAGAGTGTGTGATAATCATGTTAGATGGGCCTCCCGGGGAGGTAGACCAGCTTGTGCACAGCCCCTCCCCTGTGCAGAGTCTCTTTGTCCCCGTCTGTATGATGACGGCCTGGACCAGATGACTGCTACAACCTCTATAGGCTTTGATTTCATGTGGGTCAGTGAAGATGTGTGGTAAGCTTTGGAGGGCATTGCTTACCCAGCGCCAACAGAGAAGGCTATGAAAGATGAGAGACCATACTGCCCAAAGGCAGTTTTGTAGCAAAGCCAAGAAAAGGCAGGCTCTGCGCAGCCAGATGGAGAGTTTAAATACGCTGGCGAAGTAACCGATAGCAAGCACTTATTGAGCCCTAGTATTGCTGTAAGCACTTTACAGCCCTCTAGAAGAGATTCTCTTCTCATTCCCATTTTGGAGGTGAGGAAACTTGCCCAGGGTCCCTCAGCCGCTGAGTGGTGGAAATGCAACTTGTACTCACAGAGTCTGGCCCCAAAGCCCACCCTCCAGACCTCCCCAGAAAGAGCTGTGAAGACAGGCAAAGTTTAATTTTCACAGAGGGTCATCTGTTAACTTCTGACCTCCTGTGGCAGACTGATCAGCTCCTATTTTCATGTTTACTTATATGCAATCTTCACATTCTATGCCGGCCTCCAGAGAGGTCTTGAGCTACTTGTAGGTCCCCATGGAGGTGAACAGGGGTCTGCACATAAATGGTGATTGGATTGTTTGGAACTGAGGGTGAAGGGAGCCTTACCTCAGAGCTCATGTGATCTATTCATAGCACTTTCCAGGGCCCAGGCAATCACAAATGGGAGAAAGCGTGGAACTCTGTAGTTAGGGCACATGCTCACAGATTTTAACTCTGCTTTGTTTGCTAATTATGCAAGTTGCTTGATTTCTTTGAGCCTCAGTTTCTTATCTGTAAAAGAGGGATAATAATGTCAGCTTTTCAGAATTGTTACAATAACAATAACTTATTTAATGCACTTAGGGCATAGTCTGCAACTTTTCTTCTATAAATAGACTTAATTATTTGCTATTTTGTAAACAGCTTTATTAAGATATAATTTACGTACATTAAATTCACCTATTTTAATTGTACAATTCAATAATTTCTAGTGTATTTACATCACCACTGCTATGCACTGAATTGTTTCTCCCCCAAATTCGTTTTTTTCAATCCTAATCCCTAATGGTATTTAGAGATAGGGCCTTTGGGAAGTAATTAGGTTTAAATGGGGTCATGAGAGTGGGGTCCTTGTGATGAAATTAATTTCTATGTAAGAAGAGGCACCAGGGTCTGCTGTCTCTCCCCCTCCCTGCTATGTGAGGACACAGTGAGAAGGTGGTCATCAGCAAGCTAGGAAAAGGGCCCCAACTAGAACCTGACCATGCGGGTACCCTGAACTCACGCATCCCAGCCTCCAGAACTGAGGAACAAATCTCTTGTTCTGGCAGCCTGAGAAGACTAATACAAGCACATTCAAATATTAGAACATTTCTGTCATCACAATTAAAAAATATATATATTTTGAGACAGTCTCTCCATCTGTTGCCCAGGCAGGAGTACAGTGGCACAAATCCTCAGCTCACTGCAACCTCCAACTCCCAGGTTCAAGTGATTCTTGTGCCTCACCCTCCCATGTAGCTGGGACTACAGGCACATACCACCACGCCTGCCTAATTTTTGTATTTCGAGTAGAGATCAGGTTTCACCATGTTGGGCCAGGCTGGTCTCGAACTCCTGATCTCAGGTGATCCACCCGCCTCGGCCTCCCAAAGTGCTGGGATTACAGGCATGAGCCACCGCACCTGGCTTCTAGTAAAAATCATCATACCCATTAGCTGTCACTCCCCATTCCCACCCCCAGCTCCTGGCAACTATGAATCTACTTTTTGTCTCTATAAACTTATCTTTTCTAGGCATTTGATATAAATAGAATCATATGGTATTTGGTCTTTTGTGTGTGACTTCTCTCACTTAGCATAAAGTTCTCAAGGTTCATCTCTGTTGTAGCATATATCCGATAAGGACATACTATATTGTCCTTATTGCACTTAGCATGTTTTCAAGATTCACTCGTGTTGTAGCATGTACCAGAATTTCATTCCTTGTTAAGGCTGAATAATAATCCATTTTATGTATATGCCACATCTGGTTTATCCCTTCATCCACTGATGGGCACTTGGGTTGTTACTGGCTTTTGCCTGTTGTGAATAATGCTGTATGAACATGGGTGTACATGGGTGTTTGAGTCCTTGCTTTCACATCTTTTGGTTATATACTCAGAACTGAAATATGGTAGTTCTACTTTTAAAGTTTTGGGTAACTTCCATACTGTTTTCCATGGCTGTTGCACCATTTTACAATGCTACCAACGGTGCACAAGGGTTCCCACTTTTTCACATCCTTGCCAATACTTATCTTCTGGTTTTTTTGGTTTGTTTGTTTGTTTGAGACAGAGTCTCGCTCTGTTGCCCAGGCTGGAGTGCAGTCATGCGATCTTGGCTCACTGCAAGCTCCGCCTCCCGGGTTCACACCATTCTCCTGCCTCAGCCTCCTGAGTAGCTGGGATTACAGGCGCCCGCCACCATGCCCGGCTAATTTTTTTGTATTTTTAGTAGAGACGAGGTTTTACCGTGTTAGCCAGGATGGTCTCAATCTCCTGACCTCGTGATCCACGCTTCTTGGCCTCCCAAAATGCTACTGTTATTACTGACCTTCCTAATGGGTGTGAGGTGATATCTCGCTGTGGTTTTGATTTGCATGTCTCTGATTATTAGTGATGTTAAACGTCTTTTTATGTGCTTGTTTGCCATTTGTATATCATCTTTGGAGAAATGTCTATTCAAGTCCTTTGCCTATTGTTTAATCTGGTTATTTGATTTTTTTGGTGTTGAGTTGTTCTTAATATATTATTTTAATATATATATTAAGATATATATAATATATATCTTATATTCTAATTATATAATTAGAATAAAGGATTAATATCTAGAATATATTAAGAACTCTTATATTTATATCTTAAAAGATATATATATAAGATATAAATATGAGTTCTTAATATATTCTAGATATTAATCCTTTATCATATATTTGATTTGCAACATTTTTTCTCATTCTATGGTTACCTTTAGGAGTACTTTTTTAGAGCCGTTTCAGATTTACAACAAAATTGAGAGGAAGGTCCAGAGATTTCCCAATATCTCCCGCCTCTAAACATGTTTATTTTATTTTATTTTATTTTTATTTTATTTTATTTTTTTTTGAGACGGAGTCTCGCTCTGTCGCCCAGGCTGGAGTGCAGTGGCCAGATCTCCGCTCACTGCAAGCTCCGCCTCCCGGGTTCGCGCAATTCTCCTGCCTCAGCCTCCCGAGCAGCTGGGACTACAGGCGCCCGCCACCTCGCCCGGCTTATTTTTTTGTATTTTTAGTAGAGACGGGGTTTCACCGTGTTAGCCAGGGTGGTCTCGATCTCCTGACCTCGTGATCTGCCCGTCTCGGCCTCCCAAAGTGCTGGGATTACAGGCTTGAGCCACCGCGCCCGGCAAACATGTTTAACCTACCGGATTATCAACATCCCCCACCAGAGTGATACATTTGTTACAACTGATGAGCCTATACTGACACATCATTATCACCCAAAGTCCATAGTTTACATTACGGCTCATTCTTATACATTCTATGGATTTGGAAAAATGTATAATGGCATACATCCACAAGGATAGTATCATATAAATTATTTTTACTGCCCTAAAGATCCTCTGTGCTTCACCTGTTTATCCCCTTCCCTCCTCCCACCCCAATCCCTGGCAACCACTGGGTCTTCTTACTGTCTCCATAGTTTTACCTTGTTCAGAATGTCATATTGTTGGAATCATACAATATTTGGCCTTTTTATATTGGCTTCTTTCACTTAGTAATATGCGTTTAAGGTTCTTCCATGCCTTTTCATGGCTTGATAGTTCATTTCCTTTTAGGACTGAAAAATCTTCCATTGTGTGGTTATACTACAGTTTTGGATGCATTCACCTACTGAAGAACATCTTGGTTGCTTCCAAATTTTGGTAATTATGAGTAAAGCTGCTATAAACATTCATGTGCAGTTTTTTTGTGTGGACATACATTTTCAACTTTTTTCATTAGATACCAAGGAGTACAATTGCTGGATCGCATGGTAAGAGGGTTTGGTTTTGTAAGAAACTGCCAAACTGCTGCATTCCCATCAGCAATGAATGAGATTTCCTGTTGCTCCACATTCTCACCAGTATTTGGTGTTTCAGTGTTCCGGATTTTGACCGTTCTAATAGCTGTACAGGGGTATCTCATTGTTTGTAGCTTGTCTTTTTACTCTGCTGATTGTGTTCTTTGATGCACAAACGTTTTCAAGCTTGATGTCTCATTTGTCTATTTTTGCTTTTATTGTCATATGCAAGAAAACATTGCCAGATCCAACGTCATGAAGTTTTTCCCCTTGTAGAAGCTTTATAGCTTTGGATCTTATGTTTATGCTTTTATTCCATTTTGAGTTAATTTTTTATATAGTGTAAGGTAAGGGTCCATCTTCATTTGTTTGC